TAAAGATATAGGATCTGTACCTGGAAGTAAATCGATAGTGAACTCCACGTCTTGATCTAGCAAGCAATCCAGGTAAATCATTAGGGAATACATCAGGAAAATGCCTGACTGCTCGTACATCCTCCACACTATTCGGAACATTATCATTCAACACCATATGAGCCAAATATCCTTGATAACCTTTCTTTAATAATCTTTTAGCCCTTATGGCAGAAATAACACCATGCCTCACCCCACCACGATCGCCCACGAATGTAACCTCAGGTAACCCAAGATGATGAAACGTGACTGTCTTCCCATATGGCACAATTGTAATGTAACCAATCTGTGCCCAAAATAACATTAAAATAACAATATCTAACGGGATGAGGTCAGCTAGCATAACAACATCCTCTACGAACACGGGACATCTTGGATATACACAACTAACATAATATGTCTCCCTTCTAGGCATTGAAAACTCCAAATCATACCCAAGAGGTGTAGCATGAGGTTGTGTCGTCTGAGTAAACATATGAGAAATAATAGAATACGTAGCACCACAATCAATTAATACTCTAGCAAAATGACTAAGAATATTCAACGTACCCATGATCAAATCAGGATTATTCTGAGCATCCTGTAGTGTAATGTGGTGAATACGTCCCTAAGCCTGCTGTCGTCCTCCTCGACCTCTGTTAGCTTGATTACCACGTCCTTGCACACTACGCCCCTGACTTGGCTGATTAGGTTGCCTTGATGGTCCTGTACTACTAGAAGCAACCCCCATGTGCTAGGATTGTCCTCCAGGATACCATTGAGACCCACCAGTTGAATAAGGAGGATACGACGTACAACCTCCAAGATACTGAGGGTAACCACTCTGATAATATGGATCATGCGAATACTGATACTGCCTGCAGAACAAGGAGCTACATCACCCTGATACTGATAAGCGCCCCCACGACCAGTCTGGGCACAACTACTAGGTTCTGGAACCTGCTGGATCGGAACTGGTGGTGGTAATGAAGGCGGATGGGGCTTCTGCTGGTACTGTGGACAATGAATAGCCCTATGCCCCATTTTCCCACAAGTCTAGCATCCGCTGCTGCCTCGCTTACACTCCCCAAAATGTCTATTATTACAAATGCGACATAAGGGAGCACCAGTGCTACCAGAATCCATCTGTCTCAGAAAACGAAGACCTCCAGAAAATCTCCCACCCCTTCTCTGCCTTGTGAAACTCAAACCCCCACTAGAAGAATTGGAACTAGCACCACTTCTCTTAAAACTTTGAGTCTTACGATGTCCTTGAGATGATTGGCCCTTATCTTTATCATTTTTCTTCTGGTTCTTTAATTCAAAGCAAAATCTCATAAAACTCCTGGTAATTAGCACATGGAGTTGTGGTTGCCATAAAACGCCACTTCTTTCTAGTACCCAACCTAAAACGACAGAGCATCTCTACTGGATTAGCAGCAACCTCTGGGGTGATAGCAAGACAAATTAGTAAACCTCCTGTAGTACTTATTAGCTGTCATCTTTCCTTGTTTCAGGTGCGTAAATTCTTGCTTCTTGCGATTTATATGCTTTGGAGGAATAAATCTCTTCTAAAATAACTGTTTAAAAACTTCCTAATCAGCAGCTTCCTCTGGTGATAACTGATAAGACTCTTGTCTCCACCAAGATGCATGCTCTTGACCTAAAAACCTGGTAGTCATCTTAACCCACTTATCCTTAGGGAGATTTCCCTGTCTTTGCATCAAATGGAATGTCTTCTCAAGATGATTAAGCCACCGCTCAACTCCCTTATGTCCTTCATTACCCATAAACTTATCCAACTTCAGATTATACATAGTCTTCATGGGAGTCCTTTTGGAAGGGCGAAGCGAAGACTAAATAGCATTGGCTATAACTTCCCTTAACTTAGCAATATCAAGGAAACTAGACTCAGCCGAGGAATGTGGCTCTCTATGAGGCGACATAGTTCTGACAGAAGACACCAAAATAATTAGAATACAAGATATGCAGGACTGCCAAACCTAGGCTCTGATACCAAACTGACACACCCCGACCAAAATCAAGACATGCTAGCCGTCATGTGAGGGTGACGTAGCCATGTGCGCAGTGCGGAAAGGATATTGATAAAAGGAAATGCGAGTAACTAAGAACCAAGCTAGCTAATTTACATAAAGCAAAAATAAGTGCAAATCCCGATATTTAAGTGTGATACGCCATAATCAGAGCATAGGTAGCCTAAGTGCAGTCCAATAGGACAAGTACTAATTATACAATACCAGAGGTGGTCCTACATTAGTGATAATCTGTTAGAACCGCCGTCAATTGCTTGTAAGCCACCAACAAGCATTCCTACCTAAAATCTGGAGGGGCGCAAAACAGAAAGTATGAGTGGGCAAAAACAAAGCTTTTCAAAACCATTTCACTTGTCGAAGGTAATAACCCCTCGCTATAAACTTGTATGATTTCCTAGAAAATTGAATACATACGCATATCAAAACCATGCATAGAATAACAAAATCCACATATATGCCATATCAAATAGCTTAGCATAAAATATGTAAGCCAGGTAATGTAAATCAATGCAAATGATATGTCAGCCGAAGTCACTTAATATGACCTGTATGGCTGAACCAATAGCTCAACAAGTATGCTTGCACATGAGTCGAACCACCTAAAGTGGTCTATACGACAGGACTGGGCGTAAATAAATACGCTCAAGTGCTACGATCACGTGAAGACTGTGCGAATGATCGCGGGTCACCTACAAGTCGGAACCACCTATAATGGTCTGTACGACAGGACTGTGCACCTAACTTGGATCCAAGGTGAGCGTATAGTGCGAGAGGTGAACATCATGTGAAGGACTGTGCCCTGACTACGGGCAGGATCATTAACACCAGGGTGCATGTTTATGAGCTATAACACATCTCAACATAATCATGCAACTCACATCTGCAATCTCTAAACTCACCTGGCATTTACCTGAGCTTTTGCAGCATCAAACATAAATATGTGCAACTACTAAATGCATATTCTAAGTATAAAATATTTGGCATGGCATTTCAAAACATAAGTCCATTTAAATAAGTTTATGGGAAAAATACCAAGAATATATATACTGAAAACCAAAAGCCCACTCATTAATATGTGGCAGGGTCATAACCCCTGAGCCTCACCTGACTGCGCTCGTCCTCTGTAAATGTCTCACCTGACACCGTTAGTAATATTCCGTCAAAGTTGACGGAATATTCCCTTTCTCCTTCATTGGTTTGCCGGAGTCCGGCGCCGGTCACCTCTGCACTCGCCGATTTCACTTTGGAGTCCTAAAACCAACAGAATTTGGCCGGAAAAATCTCAATAGCTCGGCCAACCCTGCAACTCGACAAACTTGGGTGTCTCGATGTCCAAAATCCTTCCAAAACTTCTCTATAAGCTTCATGAAGTTACTTTAGGACTCCCTAGAACTTTAAAACTCCGTGAAACGATGGAGTAACAGGACACCTCGTCGGAACTCCTTGGTTCTCGAGTTCTCGAGGTCCATCCTCCAAACTAAAGGTATAGCTCTACTCCTGAGCTTGCAAGGAACTTGGAAATGGTCTCCACTATCTCGATCCGTGCACAATGAAGCTAGTTGGGTGCGTGTGCGTACGAACTGTACAGACGGAAAAAGTGTTCAAGAAAGAGAGTGACAGGTAAAGATTGCACATGTGTGAGTGTGTGTGTCTTGATCCGGATTGGGTATACACATATAAAAATCCTTAAGCTCTAATTGGGCCACCAATTATAGGCTAAGAAAATCATCCAAAACAACCCCAAATTTCAATTGGGTCAAAAAAAAAAAAAAAGGAAATGAAATAATTGGTCTATTTTTCTTAGCCCATGCATACCTTCACAACCCAACACTCAAGGGTAAAATCGTCTTTTCCATGCTTTCTAGAATAATACATATTATAATTCGGGACGGGTCGTCATAGCAGTAAAAATTATTTTTTTGACAATTTATATAAACTTTTTTGACAATTTATAAATCTTTACTAAAAATTATTTGTCCGACGAAATATCGTGGGGCAAAGAAACTTTACTCGACAGACAAAAAAATTTGATCGGACAAAAGTGGTCAATGTTTTTTATTTTTTTTCGGAGAATTTAGGTGACGAAACATTTCGACGGGCAAACTATTCTTCATCGGGCAAAGTTTTCTTGCCAAGTGAAAAATTGGTGAGTATTATGCGACCTTTTGACTGACAAAAGAACAAATTCGTAGGATAAAATGACTTCGCCCGACAAACCATCCTTTTTTTTTTGTGACCATTTTTTGTTTGTGTACCAGATGACGATTCTTTGCTCGACGACATAGGTGAGGTTACCAGACGAACCATTTCGTCGAGCAAACCCAATTCGTTAAAACAGGCCGCGTGGCCTTCCTTTTCATTCTGCTTCTCCCTTCTTCTTTCTTTCCCCAACAACTCTCTTCTTCTCTGCCATATTTCTACTCTCTCTCTCTCTCTCTCTCTCAACCATTCTCATACCCAACTCATCACCCATATCTCGTCATCCCTCTCCCAATTAATTTAAGGTTTTTTTATTTGTTAAATTTTTTGTTTGATTGTGTAATTAAGTAATTTTGTTTGTTGTAGGTTTGTGACCGAATTGGAAGAAAATTAAAGGTACGAATTTGTCTCTCAATTTGTTTTTTAATAAATTTTATTCCAAATTTTTTCACCACAAATTTTTTAATGATAGCAAATGAACGAACCAAACCAACAGATGGTGAGAGACTTTTTCTTTTCAGTTGTAACAGATCCTTATTCAAAAGAAACTAAACACAACAGAGACATATAATGCAAGTGTATGAATAGTCAGACAACTATAGCTCTACACGAAAACACTTTAGATATAACGGTAAAAAATAAAACCAAAACGGTACACCAGGCATTGATAAGACCACCGATTGAAGTCCGATGAATGCTACAAAAATTGAGCGATGCATGCCAATAATCTCAAGCACCTAAAGTGGCTGAACAATGCAAAAGAACTACAGTTAGAGATCCAAATGTGCTTATGCAAATCAAACATACAATGTTCTGCAACATAGCATAAAACAGAAGAAGAATTCAGGTCCACAAGAAAGTTTTATAAATTTATTCGAGGAAAGTTATTCCAAAAGAAGTTAGTACCTTTAGCAGAAGGCTCATCCTGTGGTTTCATAGCCGGGAAGAGTAGAACTTCCTGTCCAACCACAAACAATAGACAGTGAGAAACAGCTCACACGAAACAAATACAAGAGAGAGAGAGAGAGAGAGAGAGAGAGAGAGAAACCTTAATATTTTGTGAATCAGTTAGCAACATACAGAGCCGATCAACGCCCAAACCCCAACCACCAGTTGGAGATAACCCGTACTCAAGAGCTCTACAAAATGCTTCGTCCAAAGCCATTGCTTCATCATCACCTGATTGTCGGTCCTGAACCCAAAACCATATATCATTAGATTTCTGCAAACATTGTTTAATAAGGTACCATAACTGAACAATTAAGTGATACCTTGAGTTGATCAGCAAATCGTTGGCGTTGTACCACAGGATCATTCAATTCTGTGTATGCATTTGGCAAGCTGGAAAGCAAATGAAAATCGTAAACAGGCTTAATGACAGAGAAAAAGGTAGCCAATAAAGAAATCATTCAAATCCTCAAGTTGGTAGACGTACTTCATGCTTGTTGACAAACAATTCATAACGTTCATTCAGGCCAGGTTTCGATCGATGCCACTTTGCTAAAGGACTCATTATCTCAGGATGGTTAATGACAAACGCAGGATTTACACACGTCACTTCCAAAAAGTGCCCCACAAGCTGCAAAAATAGAAAATGAACCAAAAAGTAAAAACTGATGCACGATTCATTTTTCATATCCATCACACATTAAGATTCCAAGCGACTAGGTTTTTCTTAACTGACAAAGGGAAAGAAAACGTAAATTTGAGAAAAGCATAACATTGCATTGAGTGTAACGTCATTCCCCGCCACCACATAAAACCAGAGATAGTATCCTGATTCATGTACTTGATTTTAAAGAATATATGGGAGGAAGAAGACAATGAGTTACCTTGTCTAACAGACGAGTTGTTGTTTCAGGAGGGGAACATTTGATATCAAACTTCTTGCACACATCCTTTAGATATTGGTTAGCTTCCGCACTGGAGAGATCCTCTGGATTTATCTTGAGACCTGCAATCTTATTTAATTCCTCAACCATGTCGATCCTTCTGCAGCAGTTACAGTTAAAACCACCAAATAAGTTTCTTAACATATGTTTAAGCTGTAATATGCATGACCAAAATATAGTTTACGGACCTGAAAGGAGGAGTAAAGTCAATCTCAATTGGATCCTTGTCGAGCCCATTCGAATGATACTTGATTTTATATCCACCAGTTAGTTCCTTGACCATCCCTATTTTAGAGTTAATATATTAACAAACAAATCAAGTACTCTCAACGGGAAAGGAACAAGGAAATATACACGGCTGGGGCCATACTCCGATAATCAACATGAACAACCTTCTAGGTGAAGTGTTCTTTTGCAACTGGGCCTGCAAGGAGCATCTTCCACCTCACATCGGAGTAGACAGCATGATGGATGGAGAGAAGTAGTCACTCAATCCGGCTCAAGTTCAACCGGCAGCCTGCGAGTAATTCGCTCGCCTGCTAGGAACGTAGCTCATGCACCTGCGACTGCAACATAGACGAGCTGAACATATGGAAGAGCAGCCTAGACCAACAGGTCCACTACCGAGGGCAACCGGAAACTTTGCTACCCTAACAAAGGCAAATTCAAGAAGAAGTAGAGAGGCTCTTGACCAAGCGATTGTTCGATTTCAAGGTTCTAAAAAACGCTAAGCGCTAGCGGGGTGGCGGGCTGGCGCATAGCGCCTAGGCGGCCTGGGCGGATTTAGGTAAATTTCTTGTATATCTTGTAAATAAGTGCATATTGACACTTACAAAAAATTATACTTATATGATAAAATGCAAAAGAGTGTCCAACAAGTCCAAAATTTAAAAACATATTAAGCATATATGCCATATAACCATATTAAGGAGTATTGTAGGATGACATGTACAACAAGTTCACAATTTAAAACAACATAAGATGGAAAATAGGAGGAAAATGAGGAATTGAAGAATTTGAGAAATGGGTAGAAAGAAGAAGTGATGACGGCTTGGTTTTGTATTTGTTTGTGAAATTAGAGTAAGAGAGAGCTGCAGAGCACAGGTTAGAAAATAGACTATAAAAAAATTTCAAAAAAAAAAAAAAAACCACCGAGCCGCCTAGCCCGCCTAGGCCACGCCTAGAGCCACCTCGATTTTACCAGCCGTTTTGCACGAAATCACCTCGGTTCCAACCCGCCCAGGGCCTAGGCAGTTTTTTTAGAACATTGCTCGATTTCCAACACAATGAGGTCACTGACAAGGCATTACGACGGGACATGACCAGCATAAGTAGGTCACCCTTCATGGACGAGATCGAGCAGGCAGAGCCTTCACGTAAGTTCAACATGCCATATTCCATATCCCTCAAAGGAGATGGAGACCTGGAGAGGCACCTAAAGCACTACCAAAGTGCAATGATCCTTTATTGGAACAACGACGCTCTTATGTGCAAGATATTCGCCACCACTTTATAAGGTGAGGTGCAAGATTGGCTCCACACCCTGCCGCCACAATCCATCTAGATTTTCAATGAGTTTTTTTTGGTTTTCACCAAGGAGTATTCATCCTATCACTCGATCAAGAAGAAGTTTGACCACTTGTTCAACGTCAAGAAGAACCCTGAGGAGTCGCTTCCCGACTATGTAAAGAGGTTCAAAGCAAAGAAGGCAAAGATAGTCTGATGCAACGACTTAATAACTAGTGCAGCTTTCCAAAAAGGACTTCTAGCAGACCACCCGCTATTCGGAAAATTGATCATGAAAAAAGATCTAACTCTGGCAGACTTATTCGCTCTGGCAGAGAAGCATGAACTTTGGGACGAGGCTCGACGAGCAGACAAGGCACCTGAGCGCCCTAAAAAAAAATCAGCAGTAGCTCAAAAGAAAGAGGATGAGAAGCAGTACAACAACAAAAGCAGGCAGGAGGCCAAGCGCAAGGATCGATCCCCAACTAAAGGAGGCCCAACGCCCAAGAACTGCTCTAAGTTCTTAATCCCAATCCACCAAATCCTCCACGACATCAAGAAAGAACCATGGTTCAAACTGTCGAAGCAATCAAAGGGAGATACCTCCAAGTTGGACACACCAAGTATTGCGCATTCCATTGAGGTCCAGGTCACACAATTGAGGACTGCTACACTTGGAAGAATTACCTAAAGAAGTTGGTGAAAGAAGACAAGGTTGATATATACTTGGACAAGCCAATTGCAGCCTAGAAGGAATGCAATTGCAGACGAAGAGCCACCAACCAAGATAATTTGGATCAATGGCATCTTCGCCAAATTCGAGCAGTTGGGGGCCACCAATAACTCCAATAAAAGAAAGATTCAGGAGCTCTATTAGTCTTAAGGTCCAGGCAGTCAACACCCAACATGGACCCATCATTGGCTTCACCGAGCAAGATGTTAAAGGCATCAACTTCCCACATGATAACACACTAGTGGTATTTGTCCAACTAGCCCATTCTATAGTCGACATAATAATGGTGGACAATGAAAGTGCAGTTAACCTACTTCACCTTTCAGTAATTCAGAAGATGAGCCTAGGAAACATGATCATACGCTGAGTGGAGGTACTTACTGGATTCAACGAACACACCTCGATTGCCATCAGCAACATTACACTTGACGTGAGAACATCGCCAATCCTCTCAAAGCAGATGTTCACGATAGTAAGCAACCCATCTCCCTATAATGGGATTCTAGGGTGACCTTGGCCGATAAAGCTGGACGTTGAAACCTCCGTCAAGTATCAAAAAATTTGATTTTGCATCCCGGGATTAGGAGTCGAAGAAATCAAGTCTGACCAGGCCACATCTCGACGATGCACTATCCAAGTACTGAAGGAGTCAAAGAAGAAGACCTTTATCCTCGTAGAGGCTACCGAGGTCCAAAAAGACTACGAAGTTACCAAATAGCAATCACAACAGACAGATTAAGAATATGGTGCCCAAATCAATGCGCCAACAGATGAAACAAGATGGAAACCTGAAGAGGACGCCGAGTACATCATTCTTGATCCCCAATAGCCAGAGAAGACTACTAGAATCGACTTACTTCTAAGCCCGAAGGAAAATAAGGAAGTCAAGGCTTTTCTTAGGGAAAATTGTGACATCTTCATATGCTCACCTTTTGATATGCCCGGCATCAACCCCAAGATAGCTTACCACAAGCTACACGTCGACCCCGCTACCAAACCGGTGATCCAAAGATAAGATATTTCGCACCCAAACGAGTGACGATCACTGAAGTGGAAATCGGCAAGCTACTGGAGGCCAGATTCATAGAAGAGGTAGCACACTCAACTTGGCTAGCCATGTCGTGCTAGTAATAAAGAAATAGAAGGGTAAATAGAGGGTTTACATAGACTACACCGACCTCAACAAAGCATGCTCGAAGGATCCTTATCCAATTCCTTGAATCGATCTACTAGTATATTCAACTTCCGAGAACCAGCTGTTCAATTTCTTGGATGCATACTTTGGCTACAACCAAATAGCCATGCATAAGCCTGGCAAGGAGTAAACCATGTTCATAATTGAACGAGGCACCTACTGCTACAAAGTCATGCCTTTTGGCCTCTAGAATGCAGGACCTACTTACTAACGACTGGTAAACATGATGTTCAAGAACCAAATTGGAGTAACCATGGAGGTCTACGTCGCCGACATCATGGTGAAGTGCAAGCAGCTATCAGACCACATTGGTAACTTGGTGAAAACTTTCGACATCCATAAAAAGTACAAGATGAAGTTTAATCCAGCCAAATGCACATTCGGAGTATCTTCAGGCAGATTCTTAGGATACCTAGTAACCCAACAAGGAACCGAAGCACATCCCAAGCAGATCCAAGCAATCCTAGAGATGAAGTCTCCAACTACCTTGAAGGAGATCCAAAGCTTGACCAGAGGAGCAACTGCGCTCAACCGCTTCCTTTCGCGGTCCATCGATCGATGCATACCTTTTTTCAAAGCAATCAAGAGGGAACAATGAGACAAATAGGCTGATGAGTACGAAAGAGTTTTCCAAGACTTGCAGAACTATCACAAATCAATCCTATATGGTCCAGATGCTTCTCAACGAGTAATGAAATGGGCGTTGGAAATTGGTTAATACAGTTTAGTTTTCTGACCTTACACGACGATAAAATCCCAAGCCTTGGCGGACTTTATAGAAAAATTCACTCCTAACTTAGGTGACGCAACAGAGCGACCCAACAATGCCCTAGAGGCAACGGAGCATGCCTTAGCCATGTCTGCCTCACCGATGGTGACTTCTGTCACGTCAATGGTGCATCCAATTATAAGGGCTCGGAAGCAGGTGTGGTCCTTGTCACTTCAGACAGTTCAATACTTGAACATGCAATCACTCTAGGCTTCAAAGCATCTAACAACGAAGCAGAGTACAAATTTTTACTAGCAAGCCTTTGAATGGCAAAAGACTTGGCAGTGAAAAAGCTTGAAATTCATTCTGATTCCTAGCTAATCACTAACCAAACTATTAGGGAGTACACAACAAAACATCCGAATATGGCGCAATACCTAGAGAAGGCTCCAAAAAGATGGATCCCATCTGGAAAGGTCCATACAAGATCAACATACAATCTAAGGAAGTACCATGCGTGACTTCCTGTTACATTATCGTCGTTTTTTGCATCATGGCAAGCAGAGCATTCCTCCTATATTGAGTTGTAAGCTTTGCAAAGGAACTTGGGCAAACAACCCCTCTAACGCCATCAATAAGCTTGTCACATAAGTCCATGTCTTTAAGCAGATCTAGCTTCAAAAGTGCAAAGATTTAAGCAGCCTATCCATTAATAGGCTTGGTGGATTTCTCACAACTGCCCACGATGCCACTTTAGCAGGTGAACTAGTCTTAGCAGCAAGAAGAGTTGGCCATGGTGCCACTTTAGCAACACGGTCCACCTTATCACTCTTCATAGTAGCAAGCCTCTCCAAAGGTGAAC